GGGGATCGGGTCAAAGTAAAGGACCTGGGAAGAAAAAAGAATTCTGAGTCAGAAGTAAAGGTACGGATCGGATAGAAGGTAGGCAAAAAAAAAACGGGGTCGAAGTAAGGTACTGGGCAAATAAAGGTATGGGCAAATAGAAGGTACTGGGTCAGAAGTGGGGTCCTGGTCAAAGTAAAAGGTACTGGGTCAAAATAAATTACGGGTCAAAGTAAAAGGGTACTGGGTGGGAAGCAGAGGTACGGGTCAAAGAAAGATACTAGGTCAAGAAGGTACGGGTCAGAAGTAGAAGGGACGGGTCAGAAGTAAAAGGGTCGGGTCAGAAGTAAAAGGGTACTGGGTCAAAAGTAAAGGAAACTGGTCAAGAGAAGGCTGGGTCAAGGGAAAAAGGAAACGGGGCAAAGTAAGGTAGGGGGTCAGAAAAAAGGGTACTGGGTCAAAGGGAAGTTACGGGTCAGAAATAAAGGTACAGGTCAAAGTAAAAGGTACGGGGCCAAAAAGAGTTATTTGGGGTCAAAGTAGAAGTACTGGGTCGGAAGTAAAGGTACTGGGCAAAAAGAAGGTACTGGGTCAAAGTAGAAGTTACGGGGTCAAAGTAAAAAGGTACTGGGTAAAAAGTAGAAGGCACTGGTCGAAGTAAAAGGTACTGGTTAAAGTAAAAGGGTACGGGTCAAAGTAAAGGTCCGGGGTCAGAAGTAGAAGTCTGGGTCAAAATGGGGAGGTCTGGGCCCGAAGTAAAAGGTACGAGTCGAGTAGAAGATACTGGGTAAGAAAGAATTTTTCTGGGCGGGTAGAAGGTACTGGTCGGAAGTAGAAGACGGGTAAAAAAAAAAGGGGTACGGGTCAGAAGTAAATTTACTGGGCAGAAGAGAAGGGTACGGGTCAAAAGAAAGGCACTGGGTCGAAGTAAAAGGGGAACGGGTCAAAGTAGAAGGTACTGGGTCAAAAGAAGGCTGGGAAAAGTAAAAGGGTACTGGGTCAGAATAGAAGGAACTGGTCGAAGAGAAGGTATTTGGTCAGAAGAGAAGGTACGGGGGTCAAAGTAGAAGGTACTGGGTCAAAAGTAGAAGTCGGATGGGAAGTAAAGGTACGGATCAAAAAGAGGATACTAGCAGATAAAGGTACTGGGAGAAGAAGAAGGTACGGGGACGAAAAAAGGTACGGATCAGAAAAGGGGGAAAAAGGGTCAGAAAAGAAGGTACTGGGTCAAAGTAAATTACTGGTCAAATAGAAGGTAACGGGATCGGAAAAAAGAAGGAACGATCAAAAGGGATCAGGTCAGAAGTAGAAGGACTGGGCAAAGTAGAAGGTACTGGGTCAAAGTAAAGGGTACTGGGTAAAAAGTAGAAGTACGGGTCAGAATAAAAGGTACGGCCCAAAGTAAAGTTACTGGTCAGAAGTAGAAGGTGGGGGTCGGAACAGAAGGTACGGGTCAAAAAAAGGGGAACTAGTCAGAAAGGTACTGGGTCAGAAGAGAAGGTACTGGGCCCGAATAGAAGGACGGTCAGAAGTAAAAGGGTACTGGGCCGAAGTAGAAGGTCCCGGGTCAGAAGAAATAGGGGGCAGAAGAAAAGGGTACTGGGTCGGAAGAAAGTTTACGGGGGCAAAAAGTGAAGTACGGGTCGAAGTAAAATTTACTGGCAAAGTAGGGTCGGGGTCAGAATAAAAAGTTACTGGCAAAGTGAAGTACTGGTCCAACCAAATAACCCCACATAAAAGAAAAAAGCTTACGACGACGTTTCGGTCCGATTTTGGACCATTGACAAAGTCCCACAACCAGAGGGGGAGCAGACGGCAAAATGGGCGGGAAGAGGTGGTGGAGAGTATAGTAGCATTATAGTACGGTTTTTATAAAAAATTCCCCGCAAGATGAAAATTAAGACACTGCACAACCCCCCCGGGCATCCCCTCGTAGACGCTTCGCCATCCAGCCAGCCACGGGAAAGGCGAAACGTCCACAACGAAGCAACCAACCCGCCCCGTTCTTAATTTTTTTTTTTTTTCCTTTTCCCTTTCCTCTTTTCCTTTTTCCCTCTGTTTCTTTTCTTCTCCCGTCTCTGGTTTTCTTTTTTCCTTTTCATTATTTCCCACTTCCCCCTTTCACGCACCTCTGTGCGCGCTCCCCCTGTGGCATCTAGCTCTCCCTCTGGGGCATCTACTCTCTTGCAGTGCTCTCCTTCCTTTGTATTTTACTGGCTCGTCTTTTTTATTTCCCACTTCTACCACTACCACTACTACAAACCCCTTCTTTTTCTTCACTACTACTACAACCACTGATGAAAATTTAAAACAAATTTTGGGGGCGTCTGGTTGTCTCGTTTTTGGACGTTTTTGCCATCCAGGGGTGGTTTGGATGGGAAGCGTCCCACGAGGGGAGCCCCGGGGGTTGTGCAGTGTCCCTTTTTTTCATCTTGTCGGTATTATACAATTCCTGACTACTACTAAAACTACTACCACCACCTCTTTTCCTCCCATAATAAACCGCCTCTCCCCCTCGGGGGTTTGTTGACTTTTCAATGTCCAAGTCGGGCCGAAAACGTCGTCGTAAGCTTCTCTTTTTTTATGTGCGGGTTATTTGTGTATCGTTCCAGTCACGGTATTGTGCCTTTTTTTGTTATTTAAGGTACTGGGTCAGAAGTAGAAGTTACTGGGCAGAAGTAGAAGGTACTGGGTCAGAAGTAGAAGTTACTGGGCAGAAGTAGAAGGTACTGGGTCAGAAGTAGAAGTTACTGGGCAGAAGTAGAAGGTACTGGGTCAGAAGTAGAAGTTACTGGGCAGAAGTAGAAGGCACTGGGTCAGAAGTAGAAGGTACTGGGTCAAAAGTAGAAGGCACTGGGCAGAAGGATTGTCTAGGTCTGGCTCAGCAGTCTAGGTGCCAGTAGTATCATCTACATTATTACAACCCAGCAGTCCCAAAGGCCTGTTATCCTGGGTGTAAAGGGAGCAAAATAAACACAGCAGAAAAACTTTTGACTTGCATTATCCTTCACCAATTTAGAACAGAAGTATGTGTATTATATGCACTATGTACAACAATAGATATTAGTGTACTCCACGGTATTCAAGGCAGAATAGAAGCCACTAGAGAGCAGACCGTGCTTCACCCAGCTCTAGAATGGGAATGACAAGGGCAGACAGGTGAGTGGTACCCACATCACCTCTGCGATTGCCAAAACCATCTTCTCATTGGCTGGAACCTGGGTACTGATTGAACGATATGGCCCCATCATCAATCCTTTGCCCCTGGTTCACTGTTTGGGGGAGAGAGCCTTTCAATGAGGGTGTGTACATGCCCCGAATAAAGGTTATGTACTCATTGCATGCCACATACATCATCACAGATCAATTTTATGTAATCAAGATGGAACTACTGATTTCTCTGAACCCATACTTGTTACCACATAAATGTTCGACCACATGATATGGACCATAGCAGAATTCTTATTAAAAATTATAAGCAAAACTCTTGATCTGACTTTAATCTTAGTTGGTGTCACACATGTGTTAGTAACTTTCGTAAATTCGGCTGTTGATTTATGATGATTATAAAGATGATGATTAATATAATCATCATCTTTATAACTAGACTTATGACTCTAATATAACAACTTATAAGGTAGACCTTTATCTTCACATTACAAGGCATAGTGAAGGAGTGTTTCCTGTAGAGATATTGTAGGCAGAGTTGATAGCGCATTGATCATCTGGAACAACTTCATCCTAAGCTACACTGCTAGGATTTTCAGTAACACTTTGCACATCTAATACTTTCCTATTAATTCATCACCCTACCTCTGTAGTGAGCGGACGTGCATTAAACTGCCCTCTACTGGCCGTTGAAGCAAGCTGAGATTTTCTCAATATGGCGCAGCAGACACGGAGGCAGATCAACACTGTCTGCATAGAGCTGGTGTGTGGGGCTGTGATGGCCCAAACAGCTTCTGTTATCCTGCCGGCCAACATCAGGGATATTCATGGAGTCGCTGATGAAGAACTTTATGGAGTGGTGCTTAATGGGGCCTACAGGGTCTTTGTTAAGCTCCGAACAAGAAGTGTCTACGAGCGGTTGGTGAACAAATATCAAGATAGCTGTGCGGTTGTCAACCCGGCAGTCACAGTGAGGCTCATCGATGCGTCACGTAACTTCACTTGGGTTAAGGTGCAAAACGTGCCTTTTGAAGCTGATGAGACTGATTTACAGAACGTATTCAGCAGGTATGGAACTGTGCATGTGGCAACCGTTGGAAAGTGGACGGAGGGCGCATATGCTGGCCTCCTTCAAGGTACCTTCTCACTGAAGATGACTTTGAAACACCCCATACCGTCGTATGTAGTGATGACTAATTTTCGTACGCAAGTGATGGTGTCCTGTGCTGGGCAACATCGAACTTGTCGTCTTTGTGGAGAGTACGACCACTTTGCGGCACAATGTGGTAATCAACAGTGGAAGAATCACATAGGACAGCAACCAATGGAAGAGCCCGTCCAGGAGGGGACTGTTGTGCCTGAGTCAGGTGCACGTTCAAAGACGTCATTGTGGAGTGAAGAGGTGAAGCGAGAAGAGCTGCTTGTGGAGTCTTGTGTGACTCTACCTGAGGAACCTTCCTCCATTGGCCCAGTTATGCTAGGTGAGGAGGGTAGGAAGGCCATGGAAGAGAGAGTGGAAGACACATTAGCGACTGTGCTGAAGGGATTGTTGGACACACCTGGTGAGGCAGAAGAGGAGGTGCTTGAAATACCCCTTGGGAATGTGTCTTGTGTACGGTTCCAAGATGTGGAGGAGCTGGTTGAGAAGCAGGCTGCTGGGATGGATGTAGTCACCATAGAAGCGGTGGTGCATAATGAAGGCCTATGGAGGGCTATGGAGGCAGAGGGGGTCATGCAAACAGGTGGCAGCACTGTCAGACTCTGAGGATGTCCTCACCCCGGCGCAGAGGCCTGGCAAAAAGGTGTGGGCGGAGGTGGCACAGGGTGGCCCTAAGGGGCCAAGAGGCCCGGTGATGGATACTGGAGGACCTCCAGTGTCTGGTCGTTTGCATGGTGGTAGACACCGGCAGGCATCTAGAGGCAGATTAGTACCAAAAGGGCACAAGGTACAGCTGGCTTGAAGTGTGTCTCAGTGAATGTAAATGGGTTGCAAGACAGAGTGAAGTGTATGTGGTTTTTGGGTTTTCTTCGTATGTACGGGGTGGATGTGGCTTTTGTGCAAGAGCACAATTATAAAGCCGGGTGTGAGTTAGTACTGGATGAATTTCAGGTTTTTGTTGCGCATTTAACTTGATTGAAAGGGGGGGGGTCACCATCCTTCTGTGAGAGACCAGCCTGTTTGTTGTGTATCATAGTGAGGTAGGGGAGGAGGGGAGGGTCGTGCAAGTGGATGGGCTGTGGATGGGGGAGAGGGTGGCACTAGTGTGTGTCTATGGGCCCACAGAGGGGGATGGACGTGTCAAGAATGCCTTTGTGAGGGATGTGTTAGTGTACCACCTCCGGTCACTTCCCCCCGTGGCGGTTGTGGGGGGTGACTGGAATTGTGTGGTGAGAAGGAATGATGTGGAGCCTCGAGGGGTGGGGTTTTACTCTGTAGTGTTAGGGGATCTTTTGTGGGGGGCGGGGTTGTAGGATGTGGCTAAGGGTGAGGCGTGGAAGGTGGAGCACACGTTTGTGTGGGGAGGGTATACTGCTTGTCTGGACCGTTTGTATGTAATGCAGACTGCAAGGGTAGAAAGGGTGATTGTGGTGGAAGTAGCATATTCAGATCATCGGGCAGTTTTTGTTGAAGTGGGGTGGGATGGGTTGCCAAGGAGGCATATTAGTTTTTGGAAATTGAATGTTTGGCTCCTTGCAGACGGAGGGGAGGGGAGGGGTTTGTGGAATTATGGAGAGAGTTATGGTCAGGGGTGGAGGCTGTTGGAGATATGTTGGCGTGGTGGGATGGAGTGGCAAAGAGGAGGATCAGAGCGTATTATGTTAGACAGGGCAAGGGGGAGGCTCAGCTGACTTTTGGGCTTATAAGATATTTAGAGGGGCGGTTGAGGGATTGTTATGGGAGAGGGGTGGGGGTGGGGACTATCTTGCAAAGGAAATAGAGGGGCTGAAGCAACGCATCAGGGAATTGCAGAATGAGAAGTTTGATGCTGTGTGGGTTAAGGGTGGGTTAGAGGAAGTTTTGTGGGGTGACAGGTCGTCGGTGTGTGTTCTGCAGGGGCAGCGGAAGCGTCAGGCGGCCACAGAGATGGAATGTTTGTTAGTGCAAGAGGAGGTCGGAGGGTATGGGTCAAAGGGATGGGTCGTTATGTGAATGAATGGTTCAGGACTTCTTTGAGGAGTGTTGGTGTGAAAGGGGGGGGGCGTTAGGGCAGTTGGGACGACAGGTGGTCAATGTTCTGAGCAGGGGGGCTGTATGGCGCTTTGAGGGGACATTGAAGAAGGGGAGGTGTGGAGGGCATTATTGAGTATGAGTAGGGGTAAATCCCCAGGAATCGATGGTCTGCAATGTGAATTTTACTTACAGTATTGGGACATACCTAAGGAGCTCTTGGTGAAGTTGTTGAATGAGATGAAGAAAAAGGGTGAGCTGGGGGTTTTTGCAGGCAATAGCGGTGGTAGTCATGGTCCCAAAGGTGGCCAGTTCATGAACGGTGAAGGACTATAGGGTTATTTCTTTACTGTGTGTGCATTATAAGTTATTTGCTAAAATACTGGAGAATAGGTTGAAGTGTGTGATCAATAGGGTGGTGGCAGCGGGCCAGTATGGGGTGCCGAGAAGGACCATGTACGAGGGGCATGGGGTGATTCGGGGGTTTGTGGAAAGTGTGCAAGGAATGGAGGGGGGGGGGTGTTGGCCTTGGATTGGCAGGCAGCTTATAATAGTGTTGAGAGAGAGGCATTATGGTGGATAATGAGGAGGTAAGGGCTTGAGGATGAGATTGTGAGGTGGCTGCAAACATTGTATCATGGAACAGGTGTATGGGTGCAGGTGAATGGGAGGGTGGGGGATCCGATCCCTATGGGTAGAGGTCTGCGGCAGGGATGTCCTTTATCCCAATTACTTTTTGTGTTTGCAGGATCTGTTTTATAGAGCAGTGGAGGTGTGTGTGAGGGGAGGAGCAACAGGGGTGGGTAGGACGAGGTGTGCTGGGAATTGTCAGTTATGTAGATGACACGACGATTCTCGTGCAGGAGGGGAAAGGTTTAGAAGGGGTGGGGAGGATTGTGGAACTGTTTGGAGAGGCTACTGGTATGAGGATGAATGTAGAGAAGTCTAAGTTTAAGGGGTTGGGGGATTGGGAGGGGGAGGTGGGAGGGGAAGGTAGTGGGAGGTGGGGTGTTGTGGATCGGGTCAAGATTTGTGGGATTGAATATATGCAGGATGCACAGCAAGCTAGGATGGTTAATTCAGGGAGTGTCATGGCACGGATGACTAGACAGTTGGATGGGCTACGGCCGGGTCATTTAATGCTTCATCAGCAGGTTACTGTAGTAAATGTCTTATCATATAGTAAAATTTGACATATGGTAGCTATGTACCCATTGTTGCAGTCAGATATTGGGGTATTATTGAGGAGAGTCTTTAGGTTTATTTGGGGGTCGGGATGTGATTGGTTGCAGAGGGGGGTTGTTACTCTCCCAGTGCGCAGAGGTGGGCTGGGGTTAATTAATTTGAAGAGTAGGATCATGAGTGTATATGTAAAGAGGGGGTTCCTTCGAGTGGGAGGTGTATAGGTGGTGGGCTGCACCTTTTGTATGAGGATGTCAGAAGATGGTGGGGAGGGAAGGATCTGCATGTGTGTGAAGACATGTTATGGGTGCTTTTGTATGTTAGGGATACGAAACACATGAGGGTGGGGGTTTTAGAGAAAGTAGTGGGGGAAAGGGAGGTGGCGACAGTGGAAGGAGCGTATCCAATGTATGCATGGGGGGATATTTGGGGTAGGTTGTGTAGGCTATGCATCCGGCTGCGGGAGCAGGAAGTGATGTTCCGGTTCCTCCATGGTATCATGCTATCAGGTGCAGTTCTTAGAGACCAGAGGATTCGAGAGGAGGGCATCTATGGGGTTTGTGGGGGTGAGGATACAGCCTTTCATGCAGTCTATTTCTGTGAACGATTGGGAGACGTACGGGAGTGGATGGGGAAGGTAGTATGATTGGTGGGAGGGGGAATTTTGGTTTTGCAGGCTTTAAGTTTGGATGTGGGAGGGGTGGGTATCCCTGTGCAGCGGGCACTTGGTTACCTTATCGTGGATTTTGTGTTTGTGTCTTAGGCAATGAGGGGTCAGCTGGAGGGGAGGGTGCATAAAAGGATATTGGCAGCAACCTTTTATCGTACGTTGTGTCGAAATCCGGCTCATTACGGGATATGGTGGGAGCGGGATTTCCCTGTAAGCTATTGTGTTTAACGGTGGGAGTCCTCTTTGGGATGTAAGGGGGGAGGGTGGAGGGGGATGCGGTGGGCTGGTCTCCCCGGGGGGGCTAGTGTGTGTGTGTATGACTGGAACACCTATTATATATTAATAAAGAGAAATGGTGTTTTATGGTGTGTAGGTTGTGAGAGTATTGGGTATGAGGTATGAGGGTTTCTATGTGTGTTGTAGCGTAAGTATATATTGAGCTTCTTTAATTATGGGGAAGCGGCAAGTGAGATTGCTCTTCATTGTATACTCGTGAATTCAACTCATGTAACCTGTGTGTGCTTTTTATGACAATATGGAAAACTTGTATGTGAGTGTGATGGTTTTTTCACAGGTACTGTGATATATGTAATTGTTATGTGTGTATGTGTATATACATATGTATATGTATGAGAATGCATGAGTACATACATGTGTATATATATCTACTTATGTATATATATGTGTATGTATGTATATGTGTATGGGTATGAATAGATGTATATGGGGAGGAGATGGCCCCTTGTGAGATGAATCTTGTAGAGGTACAATTTTATCACCTTACAGCATGGGTTTGTTTAACTGATACATAGGAAGGACATATTGTGCTTTGACTGGCTTAGTTGCCGCGTTTAGTGAAATTACTTATTCTTATTGTATCGGTGTGTTTGTTCTGGTTGTGGTGTGTTTAACAAGTATCCTTTGTAATGTCAGAGTAGGTGGCAGTACACCTATGTACTGAAGTTTTTCGGTACAAAACATGAAGGATTATGCTTGGTTATTGTGTGTGTTCTTTTATGTAAATAATATGAGATAGTGGGTATGCCTTCCCATTCGGAGGGACGAGTGGGGTAGTTGGCATGGTGTCTATACTATTGTATGATGAAACCATTGTGCTAGTGGCTAATATATTCATTTTGGGAAGTTAATTTAGGGTTGCTTTGTGTTATACATGGGGTCTTTATTAAAAAACCTGGTGTAGCGATAGGCAGAGTTCATGTTTATCATTGAACATTGTATTTTTGTCCCTACCCATGTGGTGGATATACGTCTTAATAACAGAGGTATTATGCAGTGCATTATGTATTTAGGAAGGAGTGGGCATTTTTATGGTTTGTTTATGGTGCTGGTTTTAGCCCATAGGGTTAATGCAGTTGTTCAAATGCGATATGTTTATCGCAAATGTAATTATTCCACGTGTATATACCATATAGTGGAATTGTGAGGGGAGTACATTGTATGCCAGTACGGAGTAAGGTTTATGTTGTATGTATTGGCCTTGGTCACAAGGTTTCATAATTTTGTTCTGTAGTGTTTTTAAATAAAAAAATACTTTCCTATTGGTTCTTTCTGCTAAACCACTGCTAGCTGGATGGTGAGGAACAACAGTAGATTTAGTTATTTTATACAAAATACTCAACGTTTCTAAAATCTCGTGATAAAATTCACCAACATTATCAGTTACTAAAAACTTAGGGGTGATTTGTCCTCAAATTATGTGTTCTTTAAACGATATCCTTTCCCAAGGTTCACTAGCAGTGTGACACACTTGAATAGGATATTACCTTTATGATGCATGCAAACCTTGCATTTTCTAACATATTCTGAAATATCTGGTGACATACGATGCCAAAAGTATTTCATCGTGGCTTATTTAGCTGAACGATCCATACCAGGGTGTGCAACACTTGGTACGTCGTCATCTAGCTGCAGGGTTATATTCATTAATTATGGAGGAATGAGTAACTGATGTACTCGGGCTAGGCGTACCAAGTTCGCCTATACGATACAGCAGATCTTGATTCAAGACAAAGTCACTAATTGGAGCACTCGGTCTTCCTTCAGTAGGAATCGAATCACACTAGACCATACTGGATCTTTTCTTTAAGCGTGCTTTATGTCCTTTGTGTTAAATGGATGATCAGTAACAACTACACTAATATGTCAAGATAATGCACCTATAACAACGTCCAATTTACCTGGTAAATGCGCAAATGTAGGATTATATTCTTGTACGGTCGAAGATCATCTGGCTAATCTTCCAGTAGATTATTTATTCTGGAATAAAGGAATTCATGGAGCATGATCTGTCAAAACATGAACTGGATACTGGCAGACGATATCTTGGAAGTGCTTTAAGATTCAAGCTATTGCTAAGGCTTCTTTTTCAACTACTGTATAATTACGCTCTGTTTCAATTAAAACACGACTAGCAAATTCCACTGGGTTATATTTGCTGTTGGTCTTTTGAGCTAAGACGGCACCTATGCTAATGGATCTGTAGTAGGATTAAAAAACAAGATTTTTTTTTTAATCAAGAAATATTAATTCAGGGGCAAAAATTAACTTGTCTTTTGAGGTTTGAAATGCTTTTTCGTGACGGAAGGTCCAAGTGAAAGGAGGAGCTTTCTTAAACAACTCTGAGCTGCAGTGGAAGAAAATTAGCAATGAAAGCTCTATGAAAACCTGCTAAGCCCACAAAGGATCTTACGGCTTCACCAGTTATTGGAGTTGGAAAATTTTGAACAGCACTGACTTTACTCTGGTCAGTCATAACCTTCTAGGAGTGATTATGTGATCAAGAAACTTGATCTATGATGTTAAGAACTGACACTTAGAAAAATTTATCTTTAAATTAGCTTATTCAAGTATCAAGTGCCAAATCTAGACTTTTGAGATGCATCTCCACATTCTCTTATGTATACCATAAGTATACCATAAGAGGCTATGAAGCTTCGACATATATTTGTGATTCTGAGGGAATGAAAATAGCTTGTAGGAGTAGAAGAGGAAGTAAACTCTTGACTATCCTCATAAGAGGTACTTGCTAAAACCTTGTAACAAATCTAGAGCTGAAAATACTTTGTTTTCTAATTTGTCATGTAAAAAATCACTAAGAACAGGAAGAGGAAAATGATCTGGATTTGTTTAACATTCAATTTCCTAAAATCAATCACCGGACGCCAAGTATCAACTTCTTTGGGCAGTAAAATCACTGGCAAGTTTCCTTGTGAATTACAATGAGCGATGACTCCATCATCAAGCATCCGATTGACTCTCCCGGGGAGAAATAGCATCCATCTAGTGTAGTGTTTTCTCTAAGGCAAACACTCTGACTAGAAATAATTGCTAAGAAAAGATGAATCTTGTTATCTCGTACAATATGCAAGGATGGCACGACAAACAAACCCTTGAGCCTACATGAATTACTGTTAACTAATCGGTCATCTCCATCTGGAACATGAAGAACA